TGCGATAATATTGTTAATTTAATTTCCGAGTTTTCCGACTCTAGTTTTAAACTGTCTGTTAAACTGATTTTCATAATTTAAATGGAGGTGATCGGTGAATAAAACGATCTATCTTATTAATGTGGGCGACCCTGGGTGCAACAAGTCAGGCAAACTTCGCTACTTCCTCATACTGATAGATTCTATTGGGATCTAGCTTAGATTATACATAGAATTTGCATACTCTTCTCTGTATTAATGGAATTATCACGACACTAAGCCTATATGCCAAGCGTAAATTATCTGTGTAGAACCTCAAGAACAAGCCTTGATATTTAATGGCGATTTGAATTTGAATTATTTGAGAACTCATATATAATTATTTTTCAACAATTTTCATTTCATTAGCTATTTCCCCCATTCCACTTGACGCCATTTTTCCAACCGCACGCTTAGCACTTGGGTGGGCAACACACAGAAATTTGAACCACCACCGTAGCTGCTTAACTGAACTCAACTCAAATCATAATTACGCAACCATTGAAGCTGAATGTTTTTGAAAGCTTTTGGTAGCTACAAAATTTCTTTCATTTTCATGCTAACAAAAAAAGAGAAAGTAAAAAAATTGAAATGGTGCGCTAGCCAAATTAATTGAAACTTTATTTGGATTATGAAATTAGCACACGCCCAGTGCGCTGAGTTTTTAGCATTAAGCGCTTTTTAATTAGGTTTTTTTTTGCAGGGCACTTTTGAAATTGCCCCAGTTTGGTGGGCGCAGTGGGTTTGGTGGGATTAAGTGCGCCATAATTTGACGCCAGTTTTTAATTGTGTGGAAAATTGTTGGCAAGCATTTGAAACTACAAAATTGTTGTTGTGGCCTCCATAACTGAAATACTCAATTAAACTTTTTGTAATGGTGGTCTGTGGGAAAACCAGGATGGTAAACTCTGGGAACAATTCTGACATATGTCACGGGGAAAGACAAAAATCTGAACACGAAATGCCATTTTGGGGCAATCAAGTGCAAAATGTAAATGAGAATTGACAGTTAAGATGGCAGCCAAAGCTGGCAAAAGTTTAGTGTAACAAAAATCACTCATGAAATTTGATTGACTGCATCAATGAGTAAATGACTAAACCACTGACAGATGGCACAATAAAAACAACAACCAAAACCAAGCAAACAAAACAAAAAAAAAAGGAAAAGTTTCGTTTTGCGGCGGAAATGTCCTGGCAATCCTGACTGCTGCCAGCCTCATGAAAATTGACAATCAAATTGCAAATAGCTTTATCTTGTAGTTTGTTTATTTATTTATATCATTTCGTACACTTCCTGCGCGTCAGCCACTATAAGCAGAGAAGTCAGCTGGGAGGCAGACGGCGGCCATAGTTGTTAAGCTCTCTCTGTACGTGGACGAGTGTGTGTGTGTGTAGCCGCCATTTTGATATGGCTCATGTGTGTGCTCATGTATGTGAGTGTGATTGCCTGTCCTTTTTGGCCTGTTATCCTTGGCTTATGTTTTCAATTAAATTTCCATACAATTTTCATGACATGATGAACTACCTACGACTCTGTCAGGTCTCGACACGACTCTCAGCTCTGACGTCCTGCGTGCACATGTGAGTGCGTGTTTGTATGTGTGTCTATGTGTGTGTGTGTGTGTCAGTCAATTTATTTAATAACAAACGCACAGGACACATTCACAAAAGATCTGTAATGTGCTTACAATAGCACCCAACCAGCCATCACCCACTTCCCACCAATGCCGACCGATGGCATAAAAATCTCTGTGAAGATTTCTAAATAAATCAACAGACAAATATTTTAGCTCAATTCATTTATTCATGGGGCTAAAATCGGGCCAAATTCGACCAGTTTCTTTACAACTGTGTAGAGATTGTAACTACAGATTCCTCCTGTATTATTAGCAGATAATAAAAAAAGTCCCCGGATTTTCCCAATTTTTTCAGCTCTCATTCAACAACAAACTTCACAGCCATCTTCGCTTTTAATCATCAAATTCTAACTAAACTTCACAACTCTCTTGACTGAGATATAGTTTATAATTAATGAATGAGACCATCAATATTTAACCAATATTGCTTTCATAATTTGTTGTACATGATCGGACAGGCTGACAAGAACAATAACTTCTTATTCTCAATTGGTTTGGGGCTACACACAGAAAAGTTGAATTCACTTATGTGAAATGCGTTATTTCGCCAGAGAGCGGAAAACTTTAATTTATGAAACAGGCCTCTGTGTCAGGTGAACTGACAGAGCAGTTCCAGGAGCAGCCCACGTAATTTCAATCAAATATTTTTGTTTATGACAGCAGCTTCGATACTCTGGGATGATTTATCATTATATGACCGTTGGACGACTGGCCCGACACAGTCCACACATCACCCACACACCGCCTGTTATGCAACATAAGTACATGTTCAATATATAATAACATAAAATATGATGGTCTGCCACATAAATAAAACAGCAACGAACCGGAGTATATTGTAAATGTTTCAAATGTAACAAATGAACACACGTCATATCAAAATGTTGGCAAAGGCTCCATACACACATAATCCATAAATGTATATAAATTGAGAATGTGGTATAAGCTCATAAGTAGTGCACTAATAGGATATGTTTAGTTCCGATTCAAAAGTTTTAAGATATATAAGTTTGAAAGTCTGACAAGAATCTATCTAATAAATAAATAAAATAATATAATTTGTTATTTTATATAAATGTATTATAGTTGATATTAATTATTTATTATCTAGATTATTTTTCAAATTCAAGAGAGTAACATTTCTTTTGAGATGTTCAAATATTATTAGTATAATTCCTCGATTGACTAAAATTGCTTCAAGAAAATTGTAATTTATTGAAACTGTGTTCGAACGTAATCATTTTAAAGATTTCCATTACATTTTGAGCGTGAATTGAAAGGCGAGATGACTATAATACTCAATTAAGCGAAGTGACTGCCGCCAATCAAAGCCAAATCACAAATCTGGCAAAAGAATCTAAAGTGATATTAAGAAATAAGAATGAAATGGCCTCGTCAATTAAAATGGCAACTAAATAAATTAAATTCCAAGTTAGCTGTCATCGGTCAAAAGGCAAACATACAAGTGCTGACTATAGAAATGAGCCGGGGGGTACACAAAGCAAGGACCAGGCCATAGCAGACCAAAGAGCGAACCGCCTCCGCACCAACCCCCGCCCATCTTCATATGCCAACAGGCTGCATCAATGAAGCGCGCGTTTATTGAATGAAATTAGTCTGGAAATAGAGTAGCATGAGCCAGGGCGCATTGGCCTGGTCAACGAGCCGTAAGCCTAATGTAAGTGCCATGGCTGGAACAATTTGTGCCCTCTCTAGTAAACCTTGCTCTCCACCCACCCCCCTCCCTTACAGTTGTCGTCTGCATTGAAATCGTCCATTAGCTAAGCAGATTAATTGCTAAAAGGTATTTAATTCGTGATGCTTTTATATTTCAGCGTTTATCCTCATTTCATTCTACGCTCTACACAAGCTTCTCGCCGTCAGCCAAACGCATATAACGCTTCTTTTTTTATTTTATTTCTGAATTTCTTTTCAGTTTTTTTTCCTCCCGTTTTTGTTTTCTCTGCTGTGCTTTTTGATAGAAGCTTGCCACTTCCTTGGAAATATGGCGTTAAGTATTTTCGTGTTACTTTTTTTTGTACTTTTTAATGCTTCATTAGCTACTAATGGAAATTGTGTGACTTTGCGAAAAGCCGTGGCAGGAGCTGCCATTAGATGTTAGGGGGTTTGACGTGGGTTTAGGGGTAGATCAACGAAATAATTTCACATTGATACCACACATGGTTCTTATGAGCTGTTCATAAAGACAAAAAAAATGGGGACAAATACATAGAATTATTGAAAGCTGCTCAGCTATCTAGCTTCCAAGTTTGGTAGCTCCAGCTATAAATTTGCAAACTAAATGTATATAGAATATATTTAGAGTACGAAAATATCTCCTTAATCACGGTAAACATTTTACGCAAAATTAAAATACTTTTCGCAAGGGTAAAAGAAAGTCTTCAGCTAATTCATGAATTTTTCATAGAAAGCCTTATTGCTAAAATGAAAAATAAAAGCACAATCAGCTTTCACTTAGACAAATGTCGGCATACGAAAAAAATTCAAGTCATCGCAAAAAATAGACGCAAACGTCTGCAGTATAAAATTCAACTAAAAAGCAGTAGCAAATAATTTCAAGAAAGTTGTGTGATTTATGTGCAAATATAACACAAGAGCAAAGCAAGTTTTGCACTATAAAAATAACAGCGAACTCAGGCAGCTGACAAAAATAGAGAAGGGGAAAGGCGAAGACAAACACACATAGAATACCCAATGCAGGTGGCAATGAAGTAGGACACAAGGTAGAAAATGAAAATGGCCGATGCAGTTGCAGCTGCAGCACAAACAAAACTAATGACGGCCAAAGCAGTACAAACTTGAGGCACTGAGTAGGACAATGCAGATGTAGCAGCAGAAGCGGTGTAGAGATACCTACCGCTTAGTGACAGATGCGGCAGTGAAAGTTGTTCCGGCAAACTTCGAGATATTGGTGAAACATGAAAAGAAAAATATTATAAAGACCAGTAGAGAGTAAATGACAGAGGTACGCATACACAGAGGGAAGAGAAGTTACAGTTAAGAAGAAATCGAAAGAAATAAAGACTTAAAGAGAGACAGACACAGAAAAAAAGAAAAAAGTCGAGATCGAATCATCTTTAACGTTGGAATATTAATTAGAAAAAATGAATTTAGTTTTTTTTTATTAAAAACCGTGGATCAAGCACATTTTTCGAAAATATTTACTTATTTTTTTACAAATATTATTCAGCAAATTTTAAGTTTATGTCAGACGGACAGAGACAAATCTCAGATCGTACAAAATAAAATCAATCAGAAATGTTAAGTGATAGTTATAAGAAACGAGATTTTGATTCCATTAACTTTTAATGAAATCAATGAGTCTGAGCTTTGAATACCTGCAATTTTATTTACAAGTGCTATAACTGGAAACTTTGAATAGATTTAAATTTTTTGATTAAATGAGTTGAATCAATTAGCTAACATTCTCGTACATCTTGGGATTGCGTTGAATATTGTCTTCCATGATCTTCCTGTGCATATTCTCCCAATTCTCGACCTTTTGGAGCACATCTGGGATAATTTCGCGAATACGAAATCGATTAATCTCGGGTCCATCACGCATCTCGATATTTGTCTTGAAATTATAATTGGGCGTGTAGCCATTGAGCTTTAGGAAATGATCGAAATAGAAGGGCACAATCTGTTCCTGCATATTGTCCACGACCATTACAGAGTCCTGGTTAAAACCCTCACTAACCACACCATCCTCGGCAAATGCACGCACAAAGTTTTTGGTATTCTCAGATATAATCACAGGCGGAGGTATAATCTTTTTGACACGCTTCCTGAGGTGCAGCCGCTGGAGGGGACCCACTTTCTTGGGTTTCTTGAAGGGTGGCTCCAGGTTTCGTCGCACCTTTTTCATTTCCATATCGATACGTCGCTCTATCTGGTAGGCCTGTGCGGAGAGCTTCTCCAGGTAGCGACGTCGCTTGCGCAACGACATCTCCAGTTCGCGCATCTTCTCAATATCAAGGCGCTCAAACTTGGAGAGCAATTCCAATACAACGGTGCTGATGGTGGCCACCATGTCCGAGGCAAGTGGTATCACATCACTGGATCCACGCACTGTGGCGGGCACAATGCGACGCCAGACTTCGGCCAAAAAGCCGCGATACTTGTTGAAATCCTCGTTGGCAAAGGAGTTTTCAATTGGCTTTTCCAAGTAGGTTCTTACACGTGCCTCCATCTCAATAGCGCGATCCTCCATAAAGAACTTCCTGACGGACTTGCGAGCCACATACTCCTGTTTTTCCTTCAGATCCTTGTTACACCAATCCACAAAGGTCTCCAGCCTTCCCTGCAGTTCTGTGTGTATGGACAGTGTGTAGTGCATTTCCAGCAGCAGCATAAAAGTCTTGTTCTTCAAATTGTCAACGCCCTGGAGAAAAGCTTCGGCATTGGGAAATACCTGCAGCACGGGATGCAAATTCCGCATGTAGACATCATAGTAAAAGTCACGTATGGCCCAGGCATCATCTTTGTCCCGGACACGAATGTTGACAATGGTACGCTTGGCAATGGACTGATCATACGGTTCCAGTTCATACTCAACATCCTCATCATCTTCGGGAGCAATAGGTTCAATGGGTTGCTCGACCTCTTCAGCGCCAAACTTGCCTCTCTTTTTTACTGGCACCCGATGGATCCAATCGTTCTCGGCGCGCCATTCTTCTTCGCCTAGAAGGTAGTGGAAATTCTGTAACATGACGCAACGTATCCAGTGACCCTCAATAAACACAATGTCCATGTTGAGCATGGTGAGTTCGCGTTCCAGCTCGCGGAATTCCTGCTTCATCTTATCGGTTATCTCGTAGTAGGTCTTCACTTGATACACCTGCGTCATGGCCGCGTTGTATTCCTTCTTCTCCCACTTGGCAAAGAGGCCCTCGTAGAGGAGGCTTGTGTTCTTCATGTCAAGCCAGTGGCGCTCATTTAGAGTATCATAGATCTTGGTGCGCACCATTTTGCCTTGAATCAATAGCGATTCATATTTTAGACGCATTGCAACCTTTAATAGTTCCACGCCCGTCTTGAAGTTAAAATTTTTGACAGTTGCACGACTTTTCAGCTCATCTATATAATTCTCATCGAGATCAGTAATTACAGAGCCAAAGTATTTTGTTGGGCCGGGTCCCAGCAGAGTCTTACGCACATCCGGAACAGGTACCTCAAGTCTAAGGCGCAATCCGTTGCGCAATCGCGAGTTAAAGGTGAAGAAGGAGTCTTTGGGGCCAAGCATGGCTGCCTGCTCCTTGTGTTGCCCGGAGAAGGGCAGCATGCGATATGGATTCTCCTCCTCAGCATCTACATTTATGACTTCCGCCTGGAAGCGAGAGCGACGCATTTCCTCAAAGGGCACTAGTGGTTTGCGTATATAGTCCAAAGGTATCTTTGTTTCATCCTCGAGCAGTAGGAAGCTGCCGCTGTCTTTGGTGAGATTTGTGCATTCCGAGCTACTCAGCGAACTAAGGCATTCCTCAATGCTTTTCAAATCCTCCTCGAGCTCGGCGACAATCGCCTTACGGTCGACCAGAAGATGCTCCTCGCCCGGTTCAATGTCCTTCGTCTCGTACAATGCCTCACGAGTCTCATGCAAAAAGTCGAGATACTGGCGACGTCCCGGAAAATCGAGAGTCGTCAGCTCCTGGGGATCGCGTGAGTGAAAGATGAAGTCATGCGCATGGCACAGATCCTGCACAATCTCCCGCGCTCCATCCTTGCTATCAGTGCGCGTGGCTGCCAAATGGTTAGCGATCATGCTATCGAAATCGTATCTCGGCATTGTCAAGTCGGTGTTCATGTATTGCTTACATGGCGGATTTGCGTTGATGAAATTTACAATTGGCACCCTTTCCGGCTGCTCTTGCACCGTGATCTTCGGGTAGACGGTCTTCGTCTGGTAGTGCACATGAACGTTTTTCACCTGAGTCGGGTCCCAGTGATCATGATGATGTCGCGCTTCGAACTTTGCCGTGTAGGGACGCTTAATGGTTCGCACGTTGGCAAACTTGATGTTATCCGGCGCAATCTTCTCCAGCAGTGGCATACCCGACTTGCGAATACCTTCAATAAACGTACTCGTTGGTCGTCTCTCAGCGAGATAGTCACGTTGTCGCCTCGGATGTATGAGTAGTGTTTTCTCTCGGAACTTTGGCGCCGGCATGTTTCCCCGCATCTCGAGGGGCACATGCTCGCTACCGCCCATCATGCGATGATACTCGGCCTCTTCCACCTCATCGTAGCTTATGGACTCTGGCGCTTTGACCGGCTCTTGTGGCGGCACCCAGTCCATATCGAGTGTCTCCTCTTTGACATCGCATGGGGACTGTTCGCGCAATTGTTTCGCCTCCACACAGGTTAGACCCAGGAGTTTCATGCGTGCCAGCTTCTTTTTGAGATTCTTCGCCTTGGCCACTTTGCCCTTTAGTGCTATGTACTCGAGGGTGGTTTCCACTTTGGAAGCGTCAACCATATCGGCTTCGAGGAGATCAGGTGCATCCGGCACAATGATCTTTTCGGGAAACACATAGCGAATGAGATTAAACTTCTTGACATGGAATCTCAGCGGGGGCTTGACCAGCTTCAGATTCTTGTGCATCACACGATGATAGTGGAGACCCAGACGCTTGTCAATGTACTCCTTGATGGCGCTCTTCTTCTCGCGTTTGTGCAGCAGCATCGGTTCAGGTGGAAACAGATCCAGTTTGGGATCGTCTGGATCAAGTACCTTGACAATGCCCCGTTCAACGTCCAATTTAATGGGCTCCTTGCGCGGCGCGAGCTGATTGAGCCACTCGTCACGGGTTAGGCAACCTTTGACGGTGCGCTGACCCTCCATGATCTGATGGCGGTGCAGTTTGCCACGCATACCGTCGCCATGCTTAAAATGAAAGCCACGCAGCTGGAATTTGTCGCCGATTTTGCCCACCTTGAGATAGTCTTCGTCATCGCTGCTCTGCTCGCTGGGCGTAGAACCTACGCTACCCTCGATGCTTGCCTCACAGGCCAGATTCTGCTCAGCATCGGGAAACTTTTTTACTTTACCCGTGCGCTCCAAAAAGAACTCCTGCTCTACCTTTGCCAGATCCTTGCGCACACAGTTCTCCTTGTGCATGATGGCCTTCAGGCGTTCCGTCTCCGTCAGCGTTTTTGGGAAGAACTTTCGTTTATTTATCACCGGCGAAATGTACTCGAACTTTCGGAAGCTTCGCTCGATGGCATCATCAATTTTGGCCACATCATCGCGCAGATCCTTCTCGGCTACGGTACGTGCCTCAATCTCCTTAGCTGCTGCCATTTCTTTTATACGCTCTGAATCCCGTATAGCCTTTCGGGTTTTGTTGCGCAGATAAATATCCTTGTAGCGTGCCTCACGTCGCTTTTGCTCCTCGTCAATCTTGTCTCTGTTGCTGGGCTTGTCAGGTGAGCGAAACAGCTCGGCAAGCTTAGGATCCTTCGAAGGCAATGCCTCCTCGATGGGCTCATCCTTAATTTTCGTATTGAATACGGGCGGTATTGCGAGGCGATCCGCATGCAGTTCCGCCTCCACCTTGTGCTCGGTATGCTTCTTGGTACGACGTCTCTGCATGTAGCGTAGGACACGCCAGTAGGTCTGCTGATTCTGCTGTTCCTGTTCGTCCTTCTCGTAGGTGTTCTTATAGTCCATGCCCTGAAAGTCCAAGTTGACTGGATTTTCCAAGTCAATAACCTCGCATATATGCGTATCGGATGACTCAGAACCGGTGCTAGCGCACACATTATCACCATGCTTGACCATCTTGTTGGTCAGCTTGAACTGCTGATCCTCGGTCAATTGCTTGTGGCGCAACGCACTCGGGTTGACCAGACAGTGCGTCTTGCGCGGATCCTGTGTGAGAAAGAACTTCTGCCGCATCGGCGACAGTTTCGACAACTGCTGATAATTTTTCGGACAACGTCCGATATGCGGCAGAGGTGCTCCGACCACATTGCTAGCCTCGCAGGGCTTCTTCCACTGATTACCCTTTAAATGCTTTGGCCCCAACGATCGCACATGATACGAATCAATCATTTCCTGTGAGTTAACTTCACTTCGGTTGCTTGAGGTGGAGTGTTGCGTAGTTTTTCTCGTTGTGGCTGGCCAGCCTGGTATGCTGGTGGAGGTGCAGCTCCTCGGCTGCATATTGACCGTGAAAACCCCATCACGAAAGCCGGGCTGACTCGAGGTGGACAAATCTTTGCCCGTTTTCGTGGGCAGAACCCGCTTGCCACATTCATCCCGTGTATCGATCTCTGTGCGCTTGATATTGGCATCCGGAAACTCTAGAGTCTGTACGGTCAGCTGTGGATCCGAGTGCGAGAAATCAATATTCTTGAACTTGGCAATCGCGATCTCCCGTTTGGTTTGCATATGCTCCTTTTTTGGCAGACATCTTCGCTTCTCCCATGGCAAATTGGCGTTAGCTTCTTTCCTTTGCTGTGTCCGAGTAATCTGTGCTTTTGGATCTAGCACCGTTTTCGAATCGGGCATGTAGGTATCTCTGATTATTTGGCCTGTTATCCTACGAGAGCCAGCTTGCCCGTCCACTCCAAGACTTGTGATATTCCTAGTGTGGCGTTTCAATATAGATCCTCGATCTTTTACGGACATCGGCATCTTTGCACCGGATTTTAATAGCGCAAAATGTAAAAATGTTCTCCTTGCTAAGGCGTCATAAGAAATAAACGTGATTGAGAATATGAAATTTTACGTATTGACAGCTTTCATTAAGATATTGGCAACTAAATCTAAAGTAAAAGGGCTTAAAATATTCCAAAGGGGTGCGTTAGCTACAAAGCTGATATAACTATGTGATATTTTCTTCATCACTCTTGTCTTTGTCTCTCTATTTATTCTTTTCCTTTGTTATGCGATTCATTTATTCCATATACATATGTATGTAACTTTTTTATTCCATGTATGTATGTAGTTTTTTATTTACTTTAGTCTTTTATTTTTTGCTGTCTCCATTACCATTCAAAAGTTTACATTGTGGACCTATAAATTCACCACGGCACATATCTGCTTACATGATTTTTATTACATTTCGGAGCAGCATTTGCTGTGCTCAGCATTCGTTTTTCTCACACCCAGCTTCCTTTTGCTTGTACTTTATTCCCACCCTCAGCCTCAATATTTGCATTTCAGTTACTTTGTGTATACCCTGCAGACATATTAAGAGATATGCAGATGGATATGAACGTTATAAATGTTGCTGTATTTCATAAGATATATGTGACTCTATAATGAATATGCTTATTCTTTATTCTTTAAATATAATATGAAGTATTTTAGAGTATTTTATATCAGTGATAAAGGGTATCGACCAGTCGGCCAAGGTGATCTCTCAAATTCTTTCATATTTTCTTTTGTATGTGTGCTTATTGTGAGCTCCTGCCCGCCTAAGAGTATGCCATAAAAATTTACTTGTTTTCCATTTGTAGCTTGTCGCAGTGCGCATCGAGACATTTTTTCAATTTATTTGCCAGCTCCAATTTTGGCATTTTATGACCCACATATGTCAGCCTAATATGTCCGAGAACTAAGCCGCCACCCGACGTGTAATTTAATTAAAATTTATAACGACTTCAATATGCCAGGCACTCTGCATAATTTCAGTCAGGTGATCTGAAAATACTTACACACCCCCATCGCACCACCACTCAACTCAACCCCACCAAACAGGCATTTCCAGCAATTGAAACTCCATTCCCCCTTTTCGTTATGATACTCGTTTTTGTGGCATATTAATTTCGTATTTATGTTTATTTTTGACGCTCGCAAACGGAAATTAAGTTAATTTTTGTACATTTTCTATTCGTGCGTCAATTTTAATGTTCGCTTTTGGTTGTTGTTATTGTTGCTTTCGACAGACTCATTTCATTGTTTTGAGTACGGCTTTTTGCAAGGGCCCTCGCCAAGCGACAAATAAATAATTTATAATAATTTCACAAAATGGCACTTAAAAAGCGGAAATTGCGCAAAACAAAGCACCACAACGGGCAATTGTGTGAATTTATAATTTCTGTGAAAATTCAATTAAGTGTTGCCTGCTTTTGGGCTTACGAGAAAAAAAATCAAAATCAATTCAATTCCCAAAAAAAAAAAAAAAAAAAACATTCTTGCATAGAAATGAAATGTGCAGATGAAAGAATATATTGCCTAAAATCCTATGCTCTTATAAGACTGCAAGTTGCATATTTTTTTAATAAGAAAATATTTAAAATTTGTTTTATAAAATCTATTTAGATAAATAGAGAGAGAGAGAGAGAGAGAAAAGAAAGAAGAGGTGAGAAAAAATCGCATGGAACAGTGAGACATGGAAAAGTGAGCTATTTTTAAGTTATTCTTTATCAATTTGGTTTCGCAGATAACGAAGCAATCTAAATGAATGGTGTAGCAAAAATGCTGATAAAAAATAGTGTATAAAATTGGTTATATCTTTTTTACTGATCGCAATTTGCTGCTGAACAATTTAATTCATTAAACAGTACTGGCATGCATAATCTAACAGAGTATTAGAGCAGCCGTTCCGACATTGAAATGTTATAGTGCAACAAACACGATGGCTAAGTAACAAGCGACACCCAGCACAAGGGTATAAAAAGACAATGCAAAAAAAAATTGGTTAACATTTTTTTTTCTGCTTGCGCTTTGCAGCTAAAAAGTTTAATTCAATTAAGAGTTTGGCATGCGCTGCTATGTTGCGTGGATTGTAAAGTTACTCTGACGAATAAGCAAACACCCAAACACACCCAACACACACACACATACTCGCCCACCCATCAAGGCAAAGTCAAAGTTGCGCTTTTCAATTTTTGCAACATTTTCTGTTACATTTCCTTTTAGTCTCGTTTTGCTCACCTTTTCACGCCCACGTCGCAGGTTACATTCACCTTTTCAGGATTCATTAAAAATGCATTCTCAGCCTGCTGTACCGCACAAAATGGCAAAGAAACTGAAAAATTTAAGCACAAACTTTGGAGTCTGTGCACCGACGGCGAAGTCAACGCCAAATTTGCCATATGGCCAAAGTCTGTGTTGGATTTTCTTTGTTTGGGTGTAAAGTTGTTCTACTCTGCACACCTTATGCCAGACTGCAGCTGCTATTAAAGATGCTGTATTAGGAAGTAGAGTCCTTAAATTTATAATATAATGCATTCAGTTAGGGGAAATACGTAAATTATCAAGATTTTTTACATGAATCCAGATCAGACTTATAAAAATACTCTGTAATAATTTTCTTCAACTACGCCAGATATCTAGCTAACGTTAAATTATTAATTCTGCAAATCTTTTCGAAGCTAGCTAAAGTTTGGTTTCTTATCCATTAAAGCTTTGACCCATTTGAAATGACTTTAAGAGTAACACCTCCATCTATTAATTGCCCGGCAAAGCTGCTCTTCTGGGATGTAATTTGCTGAGCTCGAGCTGTCTCAAAATGCATCTTCCCAGGCTCTGTAGGTTTTAGTTTTATTTTTTATATATGTACTTATTTTTTTCTTTTTTTTTTTGCTCTAACCTCCTTTTTTCACGCGCGGCAAAGTTTTTAATTGAAAGTTTTAAGCTGTAATTGAAGTTTGCCCAGTGCTTCGACCTGTCACGTACCCCGACACCCACCCATGCCACCGCAGCACACCGTGCACCATCTAACGCTGCTGCCATTTTGCCAGCCTCTTCATTGCACACTTTGGCAGCTCGGTCTCGGCCTGAAGCTGGTTACAGCGTGTAAAGCGTTTTATCCGCTGCGGCTACGAGTCGCTGGAGCCTGGCCCAAGTCGCTTTCGAGTGAAGCGCAAATTTGCCTTTTGGTCCAGGTATAAAATAATTATAATTTGCAAATTTCTCAGCCACCGCGCGGACGTTGTTTAATTTTGTGTGCAGCAACTTGTTAAAGTCAACCCAAAAGTGCCAGCCACTTGAACATTTTTCATTTATGTGTTAAATTTTATTTTATATTACTTTACTTGCATTGGGCTTTATTTTTGTAATATTTTTAATTTGGGCCCAGATGCATTTTACACTTTTGTGGGTACTTCGTGTCGCTGCACTTTCGTGCAGCATTTTTCGTTTGTGGCATATAAAACATGTATTTATTTAATTAAAAGCGCAGCTTTTGTATGCAGTGCCCTGTTGTGTATTGTAATAATAACAATAATAACAACTTTTTTGTCTTGTTGCTTGTCAGAACTTTTAACAACCAATTGTTGTGGCAGTGCAGATGAATGCATGAAAATCATGTTAAAGTGAACATCAGCAAGTCTCGTCATCAAAATACCCTATACAATATCTTTTACACAATACTATATCCCAACTTTACCTTTATTATGTACATGACAAAGCTATTCAAATGTTTTCCAACAAAATGCAGTCTCCGATTTTAAGATTAAATCAAACTTGAAGTAATTTTTAAAAGTTTGCTAGAATGATATTCAGGTAATGGACATCAATGTAAATATAAGGAAAATATTGCCTCTAAATATTTAATAAATCATAATATTTGGCAGAATCCATCGGCGTCGTCGTTGCAGAGCCCGACAATAAAATAATTTGAGAAAGAAACTGACATTTTTTAATTAAATTTTTACGGAAGTGCAGCCACATTAAGCGGAAATGTTACATGATTTAAATGCAAACATCATGCAAAAAGTGAGCCAAGAATCTGTTAACTTAATTTAACTACCCCCTCGCCAAGTTAGTAACTCTACAGTTATGCCAACTTGTTGGCCAGATGATATAGGCGCAATTGTGTTGGTTAAAAAGCTGTTTGTCAAATGTAACTTTAAGGTTGACACATTATTTTAAAAAGCATTTTAATCACTTCTCCAAAGTAATTGAATTATAAAAACATTTTATAAAAATTATTTAATTATATTTATATTTTTTGGTTCTTAACAAATTACAGTTCTGTGTAGCCGAATAATACCCACTATATACAACTATAAAAATAATCAAATATAACTGATGAACAGCAATTAAAATAAAATCTAAAAAAAAATCAAGAATTGGTGAGTTTTTGATTTGATTTTTTTGGGTTCATAGAAAAACAAACAGTTTTCGGACAATAGATGGCAGCAATAATAATAAAAGATAATAAATGCGTTCAATATGCAAAATTCTTTATGTTTATTTATGAAATAATGCAGCGACAATTAGGGCAATTAAATATTTATTTTTACACTTGGTTTCAACTGTACAAAACAATTCAGTTAATGTTTGTTTTAATTCTCAATCGACTGCAACTGAGTAATTTCGATTGATGTTGTTTTTTACTGCTGCCGCTGCTGCTGTCACTGTTGTTGTTTTTTTCAGCTGCTGTTGTTGATTTAACGAGTGCATTTGAACCACCACAACAACAACTTGTTCAAATTTTCGCTTTTGGTTTTGTTAAACAAACTAACAGCAGCAACAACTAAAAGTGCTGCCACCGAGCCTGGCACTTTGTCAACTTCACACAACGACAAATTGGTAAACCAACAACAGGCAAGTGCAAAGTGAACAACAATCGCCAATGTATAAAAACTAAAATAAAATAAAATAAAGTAAATAAAGCCGCAAAAATTAATTAATGTAAATGCAAAATATTTAATAACTAAGGTATATTAATTAATTGGCTTTCTGCAAAAATATTATTTAGTTTTTTTTTTCTTATTTTCTCTTGT